GAGGCTAAACAAAAGGGATTGGAAAAGACGGACAGACAGAACAACCAGTGGTCTTGCTCTTTGGACTAGCCGTGCCACTGCAGGGTGGCCATGCCTCCTTTTACTAAGGACAATGATCTGTCTGAAGGGCTGCCGGCCACTCTCTGAAAGGCTGGCCTGTCGAATTCCACTTCAAGGATAATGACCCAGTTGCCTGTCCACGGTTAACACCCGCCAGCAGATTGAACAGGCAGGTACATGGGTCATTTGGTCACAGACTTTGAGAGCATGGTGAGACTACCATATTTCCATTTGAGTTATAATAATTTCTAAATTTCCTTGTGTGTGCATAAATTAGCATGTGCTCAGTTTTCCTCCTTTTGGTGATGCATGTCCTCTTTTAGAGCCATATTTAAGGGGCTACCCAGGCTGGTTCTGGCCCCACCTACAACTGGCATGTAGCCCTCCACAGATTAACTGCAAGGGAATGTGGTCCACAATAAGGGGCATGGGGGGGGGGGGAAATCCCTATTTTTGCTCTAAAGTGTACAGGAAATTTAAGAAAACTGAAAAAGCCTGTAAGAAAAAGGCCTATTATCAAAGCACAGGCAGAAAGTTACTCTTTCTAAGGGGAAGGCTTCACTGCAGTGGGGCTGCTGCTTCTCTTGTCAGAAAGAATTTTACGGAGGGAATTTGAATTTGCTGTTTGGTGAATGAATTCAAACCAGTCTCTCTCTGAATCTTTCTCTTCTAATGTTGGAAGATAGGCTTGGATTCATGCCCTGAACCATTGTTATTTTTCATTCAATGGTTTTAATTTCTCTTAACCTCATTCCTCTTAACTACGATGTACGTGCTCACTTGTACGTCTCACCAAATCAGAGAGGGCTGGGCATGAATGAATTACATTTGAGTGGTGTGACTTTTGCAGTGACTCTTTGGTCCTTGAGTTTAGAAGAAATGATAGAATGGAGAGGAGGAGAAATGACTCCAGTGGGCCTTTGCTGCCATGTGGGCCCGATGCCACCTTTTGTCAGCATCCTTGAGAAGACAGGTGAGAAAGAAAAGGCAGTGCAATCAATCATCCAGAAGGGTTGAGGCATGGGCAGTGATGTCCTCAAATGTTCAGGAATTTTTCTTGGTGGTTGTACAGCACAACTGTGAAGGTTTTGGTTTGTCCTTGTGTTCTGGCTCCACTTAACTCTGTCAAGCCGCCTCAGGGCCACAACAGGCCAAGGTGGCTTCTGCAAAAAGGAAATGGGCCAAATGGAAAGGCTGAGTGCCAGGGCCCATAAATTCAGCAGTCTCCCACAACGGTGTCCAGGAGCTGTTGGTTGCTATCTTAGTCTGACAGATTGAGTGACTGTGCAGTAACTCAATCATCATTTTGGTTTGCTGGGCAGAGGCAAGGAGCAAAGCGCGGAAAAAAGGGATTGGAGCCAATTACACGGTTAATACTGTTGGCTTAGCTCCCTGTAACTGGAGCTGCTCTTGCTGTTCGTTAGGCTAGGCTGAACTTCGAGTAACTAATTAACCGCTCCTGCAGGCCCCCAGTGGAAGGTGTGTGCATGGTGGTGACGTTCAGGTTTGCTGACATGCAATGTGTGAAACAATCTGCAGTGGGGTAGGCACAGGCAAGGCACTGCCTCTACCTCACAGGGGTGTTGTTGTAAGGCGGCCACTTACGCATCATGCAGAAAACACGAAACACAGTACCAAGCAGGAGGGTATAGGCTTGCGTAAATTTTGCATAGAAGCATCTTTATGCAGACATGTACATTTGGGAATAATTAATATGATTTGGAGAGTGCTAGAGTATTGATGATCCTAACGGGGAAGACAGCAACCAAGTGACCAGTGTGACTGCTCAGTCTGTGGCCCAGAGGGTGCTAGCTGGGAATGGCTCCTTCGAGGCCCCTGCCTCCCACTTCTTGCTTTTCAGTCTCAAAACCGAATTTGGACTGGGCAGCTGTTTGGACTGAGCATACCTCCGAAGAGAAAACTGCCCTCTGTTAAGAAAGACAACCCCCCACCCCCGAAACACTGCTCTGAGCTCGTTAGACAGCAGGCTGCAAATAAATGTAAACATAATGGGTGGTTGAGGAAAGGAAGGGGGGCTAATATCACGCCCCCCCCATGCTTAAACTGCACTTCCCTCCCGTTCGTGCATTCAGCAGAATTACATCCTAAGGCTTGTCCTGGGAGGCTGGCTGTTGCATTAACTTCCCCACCAGGACTCACCTTTGGGCCAGGACAAGAGGCAGGCGAACAAGCAGATTGCAGTGGTGGAGAGAAGCAGCAAGTCCAGGGGCTTGTATCAGCAAGACACCCTCTGCTGGATGCCCTCATATATAGATGGGGTCTCACTGAAGCCCCCAAATGACTGTATCAGGGGCACTGTAGGAAAAGAAAGCAGCAGTCTGCCCCCATGTTTGAATCAGTAGGCCTTGACTGTACACTGGGACCCCAGCAGTTGCTTAGGGGTACCAGGCATTCATGATGGGTCTGTTTTTTCCCCTCCATTTTGTATGGGGCAGCAGCTGGTATACTTTTGGGTTCTAGTAAAGGAAAAAGATTGAAGCAGATCTTGCCAGCTTTAAGTGTGCCATCCCTCCCAAGGATCCTGGAGCTTCATGATGGCATGAAAACATGCATTTTACTAGCTTTTGCCACTACCATTGCATGACAAGGAACACCTACTCAAAGTCTCTTTTAAAGCCCATCCTTTTCAACTACTTAGCAAATCAGAGCCTTGTCCTCTGTCACATCTTGCAAAGTGGCCCCGCAGCCTACTTTGCAGAGGACAGCCCACTATTTGAAAGCCTTCTCTGTCTGACTCACAAGAGATGTATTTCTATTTATTTTTATGTAGAGTAACATTTGCAATTTTATGCAAATCTGTTTCTTCCTTTTGTCCTCTAGCTTAGCAAAGTATAAGTGGTCAACCTGCTTGTCAACCTATAAACTGTGTTGTTTATAAGTGTACACACCCTGCTAGGTTTCAGAACTTTATGCAGTGCTCTGCTGGATCATCAAAACGTCACTTTTCTCCTGGCACTTGCAAAAATATGATGGGGTAACTGCTGCCAATGGGGAGAATCCATAATCTTAAATTATAGCATATTTGAGTGCCTGCATCTCTCATATAAATATCTCCTGTGCTCACTTGTGAGTTCGCGCTCTCGCGCTCTCTCACACACACACAGGCACATACAGACAGAGCACTTGCTCCCCACCCCCCAGGTGACCTGGATTTTGTCCAGCTGCAAAGGCTGCAGTAATCACTAACATACCTATCTCTGGGGACACAATTAAATCCACTGCACAGGGCAGCTGATGAACTTGGAGAGGAGGAGGCCTTCCTGAGATGGAAGGAATCTTGTTTTGCCCTGACCTTATCTTTCAGTCCTCAAGATCTAAAAATCACCTGCCTCCCAAAGAAAGTTTTGCCATTCAAACTGGTACAGGGGACATACAAGAAGCACGGGCCAGTTGCAGAACTGTTGCTTCATCTCCTGATCGTCTCAATAAAAATCTTTCTGTTATACATAACTTTTATATCTCTCAGTGTATAGTACAGAAGTTTGCACAGTTCTAGTCAGGTTTCTGCTTACAAGGCTTTATTTACTATTTAAACTACCTTTAATACTCTACAGAATTACATGGGAACTGAGAAAACATCATGCCTTTTGATTTTAAGACAGGAAATTAGGGGGAACAAGTTATTAATTCCTAGGACTGCTCTCACATTGCAAAATTAAGAGGTGTACTGCAGAGCTAACATGTGAAATCTCAAACACACACTGCTCCAGAGATGTTTAAAGTCCATCAAAAATTTAAAGAGTATGTATTTAAGCAATAGGTATTAAAGAGATGTCCTCTCATACATTACAGGGTACACTCCCAGATAATTATGCACTTTGATATATTAATATAATGTTAAAATATATTGTGGAATATTACTTGTGTTCCAGATTACATAGAAAAATGTAGAATTCCACATTCTGAAAAGCTGGGGCCTCTCATTGGATCACAAACAGGAAGCTCTGGTTGGCCAGTGAAAAAACGGAGGGGAGAAAAGTTGGATAAGTTCGCTTGATAGGGCTCTTGTTGCTACATGTGACTGAACTCCACGTTTCCTCATCTATATAATAGTCAAATTCCAGCTCATATAGTTTTTGCACGAGTTTCATCATCAGGGCTTCCCCTAAATAAGATCATAGGAACTGTACTTTGCTGTATGTGCTGAGGTGATTTTTAGCACAAGTCCCAGGTTTCCTTTGAGCCAAGAAACAAATATTATGCTAGTCCAGTGGTGCCTATAGTGATCTCCTCTGTTTTCCATGAAAAAAAAATGTGATAATGTGTGAAATAACCTAGTGAGAGAGAAGGCAAATATTTGTACCTTTGACTGAATTATTCAGGTTTCTTCAAGATAATTCCTCAGTTATGAACTTGCAATTCACACGTAATACACACACACACACACACACACATCATGCTGTGTTACAAGAAGCAAAGAGCCAAAGTCTATTTGCCTTTCAAGAATTCTTGAAAGGCAAATATTGAAAAAATATGCAATTGGAATAAAATATGCAAAATAAAGCAATATGTGTCAAATTCAGGGCTAGCCCTACCTTAAGACAAAGTGAGATGGTTACCTTAAGCAGCAGATAGTGAGAGCTGGCAGCACAATGTTGGAGGAGAGAGCTGTGTGCCAAAGGGCCTGCCCTGTAATGATCTTGCTGCCTTTGGGAGTGGTGGAAGATGGCAGTCCATCTTCAACTTTGAAGATGGTTCAACTGCCACTCCAGCTGGAGTTTGTCCATGGAACAGATGGAGACATGTGTTATTTTATTCTTTGCTTGAGGCAGCAAAATGTCTTGGGCCAGTCCTGGTCTATGTGACATTATTTTGGTCATCACACATCTTTGGTTGTCTGTTTCCTCAAACAACCACCTCTCATCCTACCACCTTCTGTCCTGCTTTGCTCTGATGCACTCTTTTCTTCTTCTCTGCAGAAGCTAATTGTTCTTATTTCAAATTCTTCACCACTGGAGAGAATGCCCATATCTTCCAGAAATCTACTAAAAAAGGTGAGATGCAATAAACCTAAAACAGGTGGCCAAGAGGCCCTATTAGCACCCCCCCCCCCGAATCCAATAGGAACAACAAAAATTGTCCTGTTTATTTTTAACATGTAGATCCTGCCTTTCTTGTTCAGTTCCTCACCACCCTCCCTTCATCTTATCCTCACAATCATCTGAGGCATGTCAGGCTGGGGTGTTGGGGCCTGCACTCAGAATATCACACCTTGACTTAAATGCATACCTCTTGCCTGTAGATCTAACCTTCCTTTTCAGCTTGTTGCAAAAATCTGGGAAGTAACTACAGCTCTCCATTATGTTCAAGCCAGGAAACTATGGTTACCAGGATCCAAACAAGGTTCTTACACCATGTCTAGAAATTGGTTTAAGTTCCTGGCTTGGTCCAAGCCTAATAGCCTGTTTCTGAATGCAGATATAACAGGAAACTATGGCTAACTGAAGTTTCTGGAGTGCATCCTGGCATACTACAAAGGGAAGGGACAGTGTGTGCAGACACAAGGCTTGTCCCATCTTGTCTACCAATGCCACCAATACTTGAACTCAGTTCATAAATTGAATCCGCTGTGTTCATCATTTTCACATGGGGCCCTGATTTCGATCCAACATAAATTCTCATAGTTCAAAGTGAGACTATGACTTCATTTATGTTTTCTGAACCCGGGCAAAGAAAGAGTTCAACAATGCACCTTTGTTGCCTTTTAAGTCACACTCCCTATTTCCCACTTGATATGTGTGGAAAGATGTGAGCCTGCTATCATCAGCTATAATACAGGCCTAAGATTTGCAATGCACAGTGCAAGCTTTTGAGCTTCACAGAGCTCCTCCTACAATAGGCTGTTCTACAAAACAAAAATTAAGGGGAGAGGGAGGTGTTGAGAGCTGCCCTCTGATTTAAGTAACTGACCAATGAATTGCTTAACTTTTGGTCAGTTAATCGATTTGTATAAATGTGAATTTTACTAAAATAAATAGATGTGAAGCAAAAGGCATTTTCCTTTGTTTTTAGCTAATAACCATATGTACCAAGACAAACATCACCTTAAAGGAGGGATTCCCTTCTGGGGCAGGAAGAAAAGTAGGATGCCCCTTTTATTATTTTTCTTGAAACCTTCAGTTCATATGAACTTATATTCAGAAATGATCCTAAAAATGTTTTTAAAAATCCCGCTTCCCAAATAATGAGGGCACTTTTTTGGCTGATCCAAATTCAACCAATTGAGTGTTGCAGCCTTTGTTAAAGCAGAGGAACATTGTGCTTGCTCTGCAACTTTTTAGGGAAACTTAAGATGGTATTCAAGGAAGCCCCTGGCATTAAGATGGTATTCAAGGAAGCCCCTGGCAGACTCCCTAGGTCAGCCTTCCTCAAGCAAGCATCTTCCCACTTTATTGGACTACAACCCCCATGGTGGCTGGGTATGGTGGGAGCTACAGTTCAAAAACATGAGGAGAAAGGCTTATGTAGTTAAGCCTCATTTTATGTCAGAAGATTCCTGGTTATGGAGAGGCATGCAAGTAGAGAGAAACAACTATGTCCATCTCCCTTTGAAAATATAAAAACCACAAGTAAGCTGAATATTTCTGGCATTTCTCAGTCCATGGCACAATGGCCCCATGAGGTTTGCCAAGCCCATCTCCTCCTGGGCTAATGCATCTCTTTGAAGTCTGTTTTCATCACTACCAGAATCTTGCTTTTCTCTGCTGCACACAGGCAGTTCCCACACACCAGCCACATTCGTCATATCTAGACATGATTCTGCAGATGAGTGTGCGCATGTACACGTGTGTGCAGTTCTCCAGAAGTCTGACATTCCCTGCTAGGCCAGATAGGAAGTAGGACAACAAGATACTGCAAGCATGCCCCTCTTGTCATCTGCAAGATGCCAGAAGTTATGAACTGGCTCTTTTTCTCCATCTGACAACGTTCTGTAGAACTGAACATCACGGCTGCAGTTATATCCCTCCTCAGCATCACCCTGATGGCCATGGGGTCCCTCTGCATCACAGCGGCTCTGAGCAAAGAGGTTGAATTCCTCCTGAAACCAGCATCCTGCTTCTTTATCATATCAGGTAAGGGAGCCCTACCTGATCCCTGCCTCACACAGGGGCAGCCCCAACACCCAGTCATGCCTGTCTCCCATTTTTGCCTGCAGCAAAGCAAACAAACTTAAATCCTATTCTTTAAATCATAGATAAGGTGTGCAGCAGTACACCTGCTGATAGTTAAAAGGAGTCTTACAATGCACTTCAGTGTGGTCAAATTAACTCTAAACCATCCACAAGGCTTTCCATTCTCTTAGTTCACAATTAAAAGTTTGATACTCCCTTGGGTTGGGGAAGTAGGCCCCAGGCAAAACTCCTGAGCACCATCTTCCCTTCCTCTCTCTTTTTTTCTCCAGGCATGATGGTGTTGGTGTCTTTGGAGATTTTCCGACAGTCAGTCCGATGGCTTATTACATCAGACAAGACCATCCCACTGGAGTATGAGTATTCGTGGTCTGTGGCTTGTGCAGTGGCTGCTGGGGCTGTCCTGATTTTTGGAGGAGGCTGTTTCATCCTTTTGTCTTTCCCGAGCTTGCCCAAAAAGGCCTGGGAATGTTGCATCAAAAGCAGAAACAGCAACAACACTTCCTAAAAGCCATGTGGAAGGGAGAAACAAAGTCTCTCTCGCCTGCAACACTCACACACTCAACACAATACAACACACAACACACACAGATATACCTCCACCCAATCTGCGGGGGAGAGAACAGACCTTCCCCCTCCTTCACGTCCACTTTCTTCATCCTCCGAACTCAGTTTTCTTCCCTGCTTGATGACTTGTAAATAGTACTTCTAGTGCTTGGTCTTGTTTTAGAAAGGGGAGGGAGGGGTGGGACTGTGAGAAAAGGGCTCTGTTTGTGAATGAGGGGACAGCTGTGTTAATGAACTGAGAAATTACGAGGGGGAGGGAGGATAAAGGGTTGTATTTGAAACCTGGTTTTTATAAATGGCTATTTTTAGCGCAATGGAGGGACTGTATCTTGGACTCCTTTAAACTGACACCATGCAGTCAAGCGCTAGAGTCAGCTCCTTGCTGGTGAAGTTCTATGCCAAACAAAAAGACAGAGTTTGAAAGTCCAACTGTATACTATGTGCTTTTAGTTTTCTTTTTCCTAAAAGAAATGAAGCATCGTGTCTCTGACAGGGTCCTGTGACTCTTACAGGGGAACCCACATAGGGCATTTTCTGAGAGTTTCCAGGACATTAGGATAGGATATCCACAAAATATAACGTAATTCAAATGAGACCATAACCTGAATTTTGGGTGTGTATGCTTAACAAGATTCTTTAAATTATCCCCATTTTCTACAAAGGCTCTAAATGTTCTGAAGTTTTTTTTTGGCAGAGGGATACACAGTTTCAAAGACTTATCACAAAGGAACGACCAAGGAATAATTGCTAGGCTGTCTGTTCTATTTTTCATCTAGCAAATTTCTGCAAGAAGGAGGGGAATTACTATGTTTTTCCCCTTGGTACACTCTGTGCCTGGAAAATTTCACATGTTGCCAGGGTTGATGGGAAGAGACGACTGTCAGGTTTTAGCATTCATGAGCCAGGTGACGAGCTGAATGAAATCAAAGAGCGAAAGGCAAGCCTTGAACAGGGAGCAAGTGTAACTTTCTGCAGTGTAAAGAGGAAGAAATGGTGAAAGGAAGCTGTCCGGCCACTGTCACATGGCTGGTGGTGGAAGTCCGACATCAAGATCATGTACATATACCTTAGCCCTGTGTCTATCTACATTATGCAAAATTGGAAGCTGTAACACTTCTATTTCAAGTTTCTCTTGTAATTTGGTTTCTAAAGTAATTTCAGTTCAAGTAATCAAAACACTACAGTTCACATACATCACGCAACAGTTTCTAGTCCTCAAGGAAAGGATTGATGACTCAAGAACAACCATTCTATTCTCTTGCTTTGTGGACATTCACAAAGCTATGGAAGACGACAGTGGCTGCAGATGGGACACTTACACACCTACATTTTCCTCATGGCTCCAGGTATCCTGACAGCTCTCCACCATTTATTCATGTCTCCCTTTTCAGGCCTTCTGCCCCAGACTTGCTTTCCTTCTTTTATTAGCAGCTTTGGGAAACAGGACTGAGACACATTAATGGGGCTTAATCCTAGGCCTCATTAATGTCTTAACAGCCTCTTCTTTGGAATTTTAAAAATTTTAATCAGCAATCCTAAACTCAGTGATCTATTAATGAGGGGCTATCCTGAATGTACTGCAATACTGAATAAGAGATTTGAAGGACATACTTAAGCAGGTGCAAAGGGGAAGGTTTGGATGGTTGGGGTCTCCAAAAACGCTTATATTAAGTGAAGTCCCAGGTATTCCCTGTCACTACCACCCATATCCACCCATATCCACCCATAATAACTTCTAACATCAAAGTTATACTGTTAAAACTTCAAAAGCCCATTGAACTGAGATAGGTTCGGGAATTTGCTGAGCTTATACACTTTGCACATGCCTAGAAGCATCCAGCTTGGTTAAGACATATGCCCAAATGTCCATTATAATAATCATAAAGCTGTGGGAATGCAGCCACTGCTACTACAGGTTAGTGCTATTTTCAGCTTATTATCATAATACACCTGCAAGATGGCCTAAAGCAGAGATTTACCACAATTTTTTTTAAAAAAAGACACTCCATTCTTCAAAAACTCACCTGGGCTTCTTCGATGGAGACCATAAGGAAAAATCGCTGATCCCTCATACTCTGGGTGTTCCTGCAGCTGAAGAAGAGCATTGGTGTGTTCGGGCGAGGGGGGGCTCTCCATTTGCACGGAAACAACAAGGCCTGACCGGCAGTGTGCACCAAAAGCAAGCAATATGGATCTGAAAAGGGTTATTTCTCAGCTATTCCCGCCCCCCTCCACACACACACACACCCTCCCAGCACCGCCCACATTTTGGCTATATTTATGGGATGAGGCAAAATCCTTTGCCAGAGGAGGGGAGAGAAGTGCAGTGGCTGCCATTTTGTTTTTCCCAGAAAGCCCTCCTGGGAAATGCAAAAAGGTGTCTTCTTTGCCACTCACTCACTGGGGAAGGACATTATATTGAAAGCTGTTGAAAGTTTGCAGGAAAAAAAACACTCCTCATTACAGAACTGCAGATTGTTCTTTGAGTGGCTTATTTTAGTCAAGAGGCATAGTATTCAGTGCTCCTCCAAAGAAAGGGCAAGAATTGAAGCACATTTGTAGAAACATAAAGTCAAAATATATAGTGCTGTCTTAAACCTGGACTACAAGGGGAAAACGGTTTTAAAGATACTTGGATTTTTTCCTTTAAGTAAGAATGCCTCACAAAAAGAAGAAGAAAACAGAAAGATGCTTGATTCAAAATCAGACGCAGTCATTTAAAAGGATTCCATCAAGTTTTGTGAGAGGGTAGAGGGAAGCACTGATTAACAATGCAATCCTTTGAATGTCTGCTCTGAAATAAGCCCTGTTTTGTTCAGTGGAATTTATTTGCAAGGAAATGTGCTGAAGAATCAGCAAAGTTTGGGACAAATTTATGGGAGAGGTCATTTCATTGAACTGTTTCTCTTTGAATTACTGAGTCAAATTCACAGTTTTAACACTGCTTCTCCCCAGCCCTGAGAGACTACCTCAAGTTCACCAGGAAACTCTGCCAAACACAGGGGTTCCCTTAAAGGGAGGGGGGCACAATCCAGTGGCTTATAATTAATATTGTAACTCCACAAGATAGGAGGTTTAGAAATAATTGGCTAAACATAGTTATTGATATAATAGTGCTTTTGAAACTTTTTGGGTGCCATTTCAACAGCATTCATTCAGGACTGAGGGCTTTTCTACACACAGCTTTTAATCTGCCACTTTAGCAAGGCTTTTGTTTCTGGCTTCTTTACAGGATTAAGATCAGCTCCTTTACATGTTTTTTCCCATAGGTTTTCTTTCTTTGCATTTCTATATGATCTATTACACAAGCACTAGGTGGCACTGTGGGGTACTGAAATTGCATAAATACACTAGTGTTTCATCCTATTTGCAAATAATACCACACTTTCCAATAAAAACATGGATATGGTTGAAAAGAATGGAAGAGGGCCCAGAGGAGGAGGAGGTAAGGCACCCTCCAGTTACACTGAGCACACAATAAATGCCTGGTGCAGAAAAGCTCTGGGAATGGTGAAAAAGATGGAACAGAACAAGGTAGAAAGTCCCCTTTATTAAACAAACAAACAGATCCATGGGAGAGACAATGGAAAATAATATTTTAGGTCTAAGATCCTTTCAAAATCACATTATTATTAACTTCACAATGCACAGAGCTCATATAAAACAAAAGAGAATAGCCCAGAATGGCAATTTCCAAATAAGTCAAAGTAACCAGTTGGATGTGACTGGATGACAGGAATGCAAGAGCTACAAAAAAACTCCCTCAAAAGGCCTCTTCTGATAACTGTTTGGAGCAATAGTCTGTACCCTGGAAAATAGCCCCAAACAGCCACTTCCAATTGACCCAAATGTACCAAATTCAGCACTCACAAATGACTTTATAGGAGTTACATGGGAAGTCATTATCAAACAGTGTAGTTGAGGAGACCAATGTAAGCCACCCTGGGTTCCTCACAAGAGGGGAAAAGGTGGCTATAATTCGATATAACAATAATAACTAGAATTAAAAGCCATTTTAATGTATATTACATTATAGGTCAGATCCCTGGAGTGGTGAGGTGAGAGATTTAAACTTGCACCCTATACCTGAAAGTTACATTGCAAGAACTAGGTGTCTTTTTTTGGCAATGTAAATTGGAGGCACTGCTAGGACTTTGTTAAATCCACATTTTGCAAAATGCCAGGCAACTTTTGTTCTGCCATTTGCTCATTGATAGAATTGGATGTTTGTGTCCAAGAATGTAATTTATTTACAAATTAGTGTATGTGTGCAAGTGCACATTTGTGTTAATGTACACTTGTGCAAGTGCACATTAATTGAAATCCATGCCAAAACTATCAAAAAAACTAGTTCAGCTATTAGAATGTTTTGTTAATTTTTACATTACCCCGTGCAGTTATGTATTGCTGGAGCATTTGGTTGATTTATCTCACTTAGAAGCTGGCATTCCAAGTCATTTTCCAAAATATGCTCCATTGCCCAGATTACGGACCAACATGTAGTTTCTGAGGAAGCTCTGTGGCTTTTTCCACCATTCTAGTCATGTCTGCAGAAAGAATTTCGTTGATTTCACTGGTAAGATGGTGTTCCAGACCAATTTCCAGACTACAGACTGTTGCCAAAATGTGCTCTCTGCAGAAGTTTTGTGGTTTATTCCATTGCTCCCTCGCAGCTGTGTGTGGCTGGTGAATTTGGCTGATATGGACACTTGGGAGTTGACATCCTGGGCCATTCCACTCTGTATGGGCTCTGGGCATTATGAGGTTAATAATACTGAAACAATTTCTGTTCTAAAATAGTCTCCTAAAAGTGTCTGCAATGTGCCATTCTTTCAGGCATTTTTTAAAAAAATAACAGGGCCACTCTGGCTGTTCCAGCTTTTAGGCTATCCTGCCTTAAAGCAAAAGACACCCATCATTTAAAAAGTCAGATACTGAAAGACTGAAAGCTCAGATGTATCTTCTAGTCAACAAAAGATTGATGTTCATGCTGGAGACGTATGAAATGCCAACCATC